CTTTCAGGGACTTAGTCTCATACCCCATATAACCACAATGCTATAAAAAAAATGTTTTCTAATATTAATCTTCAGCAGTTTCCTTGAACTAATTCACCCTGCCATATTTACAAATACTTAAAAAAAAAAAAACAAACTATCTCTTACGTAAAAATCCCTTCCAAAATATTACAAAATTCTAGGTTATTTGCTTTAGTGTGTCTTTATAGTCACAATACAAAATTTGTGAAAGGCAGATTACTACTGTTTGTTTCTGCTATTCTCCAAAATGAAATTTGGTGACTTTACATTTAACCACACTGAAACAAAAATGATTACTGGGATGTTTCTTCTTTTTGCCATGATACTTTGAAATTAAATAATCATATTCAAAACAAAATTCTTTTTCTGACTTCTAAGTATATAATATATCTGCAGTTATACTCAGCTAATTAATCATGAATATTTGAACAATTCCATGTTATCATAAGCTAAAAGCTCATCTTATCTCATTAAGCTTAATTGATGGGGGAAAAAGAGACACCCACTGCAGTGGTGTGTATTTGTCCTAGTTATAGTGATTCCACAAACTTAAAGCCCTGTTTTGATTGATTGGTTTTAGCATTTATTTTGTTACTTAATAGTCTTCCATGGAGGCTGCAGAATGTTTTCTCTGTCCTTCTTGAAAAGAATTATTAGAATTGATTTGATAAAATATATTTTTCCTTGATATTCAGTCATGAGAGCAACTGTGCTTGGGTTTGGATTCTTGCTTGCACTCAGAGAAGAAATACAAGCAGGAAGGCAAATGTGACAGAGTTTTATGCTTATTTCAGAGATGGTCTGAATAAGCTGGTGGAAGGTGCAGAAAAAGTGCACCAGGAGGTCTTAAAAAATAAAATAGTCTCTATTACAGAGTTTTTAGGCTTAACAGCTTTTTAGTGCTACATTCTTTAGAAATGGTAGATCCTGCAGTGAACTTCCTGCACCTGCATGTAAATATCCAAAGCAATGCAATGCAAATATCTGAAACAGGTCAGATAAGAACAAAATGTTTGCCCCAAGATCTCTGTCCTTAAGAGCTGACTGCATAAAGAAAACAACCATGATTTCCAATAGGGGATTATATGCCACTGCTAGAACCTCATACAAGGAGAGGCTTTGCATACAGTTATATGCAAAGCTAGACATGACTGTCAGTCTGCCCACACAGAAGTTCACAGAGAGCCTTTGGCCAGAGGCTGAATGTGCTCATATGAAGCCAGCTAACACTAAAATAATATCTTAGTTAGCTATCACCAGTCCCATGTGACACTGAAGTCTTCTGGGTGTTGCCAGGGCTGCGCTTGCCATTTCCCTTCCTGAATGGAAACTGAATTTAGACTATGGGCAGCCTTAGGACAACTCTCAAAATATTATATAGAATTAGTGACAGTTGATTTTCACCTTCTGAAGTTCAACTGCTTCTCCCTACCTTCTTTTTAACACACTAAGTCACCAGTCAGGTAACTTACCATCTATGCTCTTACACTTCACTATGCATCTTAATATCAGTTCCTTGCCTCTGGAAAAGCTCCGTACAGACCACTGTTGTATCACTGGACTGCACTTCAGACAGACTCCGTTACTGGTGGGGAAAAAAAAAAGTAGATGAATGCCCATTCATCAGGCTTTCCATTTTCTGGATGAAAATTTGAGACATCCTTCAAGCCTTTACAGGAAATTCAAGAATAATGTACAAACCGCAAATTATAGCCGTAGATTGTAGATGCCTAAATCTTTGATTAATACTGAAAGTAGCCTAAAATGTCATTATACAGGCAAGAAAGAGAGGTGCTGGAGTGTTAAGCTTTTCCTTATAACTACCCTGTAGAATAGAAAAAGTTTTAGATTTCTTCTTGAATGGAGAAACAGAGAAGACAAGAAGTCCTCAAAAAAGGTAGTTGCCTGAGGCAACAGGAGGACTAATGGGAACTGAACATCTGAAGGAGAATGTCGGTATGGGGAAGAGAAACATGGGACATCCAGCTTTGGAGTCATGAAAGGTTCAAAAAAAAAAAAACAAGCAAAGAAGCAAATCCATAGAGATACCCAATCTATCAAAAGCTAATTCAGAGGAGCTGCTCAGTCTCCCTGGGTGCTCTTGTTGCCACCCAAGAGCATCCCATTAATGATAATTTCCTCTCTGAGAGCTGCAGCAAGTTTCAGCTCCCAGCTCCTAAGGGCTTCTGCTGTTCCATATAAAGGAAAAAAACCCTCAAAATACAAAACATTTGGTTGCTCTATGACTCTCAAAAGCAGTGAAAAGTGGCACTAACTTTTCAGTGCAGGAAAAAAAAACACACACTAGCAATGCACACCTTCCATCTGAGTAGAGTTCTGAAGGATAGTAAATGAATATATTCACTTTTGTAGGGAAAATTGGAAGTCATTTGGCTTCATGCTCTTTTTTTAAATTTTATTCTTTATCTCATGTTTTATATTATCATATTTTTTTATTTTTTATAAGATTGTAAAAATAAAGCCTCAAAAAATCAACTCACATTTTTTTCTCTTCAAATCTCTTGTTCCCTGCAAAAACCCACTTGACATTTGTGGCAAAATGTCCTAATATCTGTCAGGTCTCCTCAGCAGAGCACAGGTAGTCACCTTGCTCAGCAAGGATTCTGTGTGCTGCAGGTTTGAGCTAAACCTTGAAACTAGCCACAGCTGTCACTGAAAAAACTTACCATCTATGAGACAACAAATTGCTACACTTCATCACAAACACCGCAGGAACTGGCTTCTGGGAGTCACAAAAACAAACACATGTGGTGGAACACTATAATTGTCTCTTGTTTTGCAGGGACTGTCCTCCATTCTCTGAAACACATAAAAATGGATCTGGTATGCTCTTCCTACTTTCTCTCTCTCACACACACATACACACACACCTGTCTTTCTGATGGACATTGGGAAAGCTGGGGTAAGTGGAAAATGCCCCTTTTATACAACTGCTGTAAGAGCAGCAGCTATAGCAGAATACAAGTAATACAAGTCATAACTTAGATCACAACTTACATGTAATTTCCTTTCAATGGCATGAAGAGAAGGACACATTTTCTCTTCATTTTTCATCAAGATAAGGAAGCAATAGAGGAAGCTCATCTCCCACTGACTCAATTCAGATAAGGATTTCCCTTCAGTGTTCTCTGTATCACTGCTAGCACATGCCCATGCTGGCTCTTTGCTATAATTGAAGAAGATGGTGTTTCACTTTGCCTAATTTTTGTGATTTCCCAGATGACACAGAAGAATAAATTTTTGGAACTATCTCAAACAAAGACAGCAAAAAACTCCATTCTCTGTAATTAGTCTGTTGAAGATAGTTGATGTGCAAACCCAATCCTTTATATGTGTAATGCCATATTTCAAAATTTCTAGTCCCTTTAATATACCTGAGGCTTTCCAAGGGAATGTGCAGATCATAAGCAACCTTTTTAGAAGAACTGTTCTAGGGATGACAGATTCCCTAACATTGGTCTCTTAGGGCTTTAGAGTTCATTTATAAATGTCAAAATTACCAACTTACACAAATGTTATACAAAGGGACATTCAAATATAAAATGTGACCATCTTGAAGGTGCCAGAGGCTTTGCAGTGATTCCATCTCATCTCAAATAAAAGCACTTCAAAGATTCTCAGTATAGCGGCTTCTGCCTGATAGACTGGCGTGGCACAAATAAATTTTAAAAATCTTATATAAATAAACCAAGAGTATGATTCCATTAACTAAATGGGACTCAACAAATTCACTACAATTACTCAATATTACTGCCCTGTTGGAAGAGAGGAAGAGTAATTATGAATGGGTTTGCTTGTGTCTATAATCCCTTCATTTATAAACTTTTGCCTCTAAAAGAATAATTGCAAACTTAAAGTAGACATTCCTGAAACACATTATTCACAAGGGCAAAATTAGTCCAGGATTCCAGCTAATGACAAAATGTTCCTCAGAATTAAAAATCGAGTTAATAGGCTGGCAGTTATTTGTCTCAGATTGATTAATATTACATTTGGTTTTACTTCCCTTGGTGAAATCAATCCTATTCCTCAAAACAGTGGCTTATGCTTTGTCACTTCAATGCAATCAGCTATTAGACTCTCCACACTCCAACCTGATAGGCATTTTATTGATGGCTCAATCGGTTGCTTTGCCCAGGATTTAGGATTCAGGAGGGCAGTGACACCTGGAGGGAGGAAGCGGCCCTACAACTAACGTCCCTTACCAGTAAAGTGCCACTGAGCAAGGGAATCCTTAATAACGTGTCGGACTTTGCAAAAAAATAGCCATAGGAGCAAAGCTGTGTTGGTGCCTTCTAATCTACAACGTATTTGGAGGCATATGAACATGCTGCAATAGGCACTAATTTTGGTTTCCTCCATCTGAGCCACAAAGCCTCTCTTAGCTATTTTGAGGTGGGTGTTTAGGATTCGCATTATTGCATTATTTTTATTCAAATAGAGAAAGTGTGTCTTTTGCCAGAGTCATCAGTGACAAAACAGGATGAGAGATGGAAAGCATTAATAAAATCCATAGAGGCAGCTGTGTGAAGTGCAGGGTGCAGCCGCCAGGAGTGGCTCAGCTGCTACTGCGTTGAGAAAACAGGAAATAGTCCAAGAAGTGGATACAAAAAAAGGGGATGTAATTCTGGGAGCTGCACACATTTCAGTGACAGATTCCCAAGCTACAGAGTCAAAATCCTGAGCCCAGTTAAAATTTTCTCAGAGTTCTGGGGTGTTCTGTTGAGAGAGCTGCATTGTTAACTGTTGCATCACTGGTGGCTGGGATAGTTTAGGACATTGAGTACTGATGCATCCTTTCAGGTGGGATGAACAACATCAAACTATATTTGTGCATTATGCACCACCATACATGGTCCTGCAAAGGCATGTGAAAAGGTAGACTATATCCTGCATAGGATGTAAGTGAACTCCTGACCAAAACTGAGGCCTTTCTAAATCTGTATCTGATACTAAACTATCTACAAATTCTGTTATCACTTCGTATTATGATTATGATTATTATGATTTCTATTCTCATATAATAGCATAGCATAATATAGTACATGCTGGTGTTATTTGTAAAAATTTACTCAGGAAAATAGTGTAGCCAGAGCCCATGACTTTTACACACTTCAACTTGTACATGCTTTATCAAACAAAAGTTAGGGGAAATACTTGCAATCGTGACACTACCCATCATGTCTGAATATGTCCTGAGTAGTTTGCCCCATAGATTCAGGGTGAAGACAGCTGCAACTGTCACTCAGACAAGAAAAGTGGCAGATTTTATTTCAAAGTAACTAAATATTTGCCTTCCCCTTTCTCTTCCCCTATCCTTTGCCACCTTCCATTAAGGAAGAAATTAGTGATCACAAATATATCATGGATCACTGACTACATCAATGTCTAGGTACAAGCATGTGCACTTTTAGTAATATTTTGAGTATTTGCAACCTATAAACCAACCATGGGTTTTGTTGTTTTTTTTTTTACTTGCTACTTCTTGTGCTCTTATATGTCAAACAGGGTCTAGCTTCTACCTTATCTTCCAGATTCTGTGGCTTCCTGCTTTTAGTGACAGCTAGTATGTCATGCAGGTAGCAGATATTCTGTGGACATTCTTGGCTCATGACTAAATTGATTGCAAGCTACAGATAACTGAACATTTTGATTCAGCTGGCTCCTTATAGCTGTGGATTCCCATGTTTCTGCACAGCTCCAGGAGGGAATAAGTGGCTAAAAACCTGAAAGGAAGTGAGTAAATATGAAAAATTGTTCAAAAGTTTAACTGTAGGTGTCATTTTCAGTGGTGTAAATTCAGTTACATCATTCATAATGTCATATTTATACTAATGACACCAAGATCAGAATGTGATTTGAAGTTTACACATTTCCATCTTTTCTAAACAAGTAGGTGCAGGGGATTTTCACAGGTAGCAAAGTGGCTGAAATAAAAGGGAGTGTTTCATTGGAACTGCTAATAGGTGAGGAGCCTGGATGACCTGAACACCTGGAATAATACTGTAGCTATTCCTCAAGGGAAGTTAGAGGGCTTTCCACACTACAGAAAGCTGCAGAGCACACATGCAGTTAGAGCTTGGTGCTGGTCATGGTGCCAAATCTTTCCCTGAGGTAACTTGAGCAGTTCCATGGAATTTACTGTAGTAGTGAAATGGACCCCAATACAAATAGAAACCTGCTTACAAAGACAAGCAGAAAAACAGACCAAGAAAGAAACATAACCCTTCAGCTCCTTAACTATTATCATGTGGGACCTAGTACAATCATTTTTCATGCAGAAATTTTGCCCCATATTAAATGACATTTCTCTTCTCTCCATGCTGGCTCAATACTAATTGGTGACACTGAGTATACCTGCACAGGCAGTGATGCCAGGAGCCCCTTGGGCTCTGAGTAAGTTTGGGTCAGTTCCTGTTTCTGCCTTTGGTCAGCTGTGTTCCCACTGCATCTCGAGGCATGCAGCAATGAGACTTCCACTGCAACCAGTACTGGAAGTGCTACTCTCACTTCTGCACAGTGTTACACACCTCTTGCTTAAGCCTCAGGAAAGCATCTGCTGCTCTGAGCTGTAGTGGTTTCAGGAGGCCACTACCCTCCCCACCCAGAGCCACAGAAAAACTGAAGGAGCTCCATATGATATCTGACACTGCTTGTCCTGTGCTGTGTAAACAGGTCCTGGGGAGCCTCTGGTAGGTCATTTTCCCTATCTGCTCAAGGTACTTGTCAGTAAGAAGAACTGCCTGGCTTCCCAGGTGTTTTGAGTCTTAATGCATATTTTCAAATGTGATGACAGGAACTATTCCAATTACATATGATTACGTAGTGGCCATCTTGAGCACGTTTTTTAAACTCTGATATTCCTAATGAAAAGATGCGTTATTACAAAGCAGTACCAGAAATAAAACAGCCCAAAGAGAGAGTTCTTAGAATTCAGGATAATTAATTATAACATTGATGCAAACAAGTTTATCTGCTTGATATATATGTTCAGCTGATTTGCAGGGTGCATCTTGCTAGATTTTTGAGGTATGGGATGCATTTTATTGATATTTGTTTTATATTGTATTGAATTTGGCACTGAAACACTCATGGTGTCTTAATATCTCAGGAAGACATGTTGCTGCCTGCAGCACTGTTGCAGTAAATCAAGCTTCGAACTGATAATTAGTTGTTCTCCTCGTTTAGTTGTGCAAGAGCACAGGAATGGGAAGTCAGAAGTTAGGGCATTTTGGAAGCAACAGGAATGATCTCCTCCTAGCATCATACAAATTGGCCAAGACTTAAACTAGACGTCATACTCTTTTACTTTGCTTCCCCCCACAAAGATGTAATTAATGGAAATGACAGCCACCTAATCAAAGATATTTCGTGGATACAACTCTTTCACCAGTTATAGCATAAAAAAAAAAAAAAAAAAAAAAAACAGGGAAAGAGGAGAGGAATTAGTTGCTAGCACAATTTGTTTTATTTTCCTTTGCCTTCCTATCAAGAGTCTGGGGTCACTGCAAGCTCAAGACATTCATTATAACATTTCCCTTGGGTAATTCTGAAAAGGGCGCAGAATGCCAGTAATCATCCCCTTTATGTCATAGTGGCAAGTTTATGATTGAAGGATTACCCTGATAATACATGTTTAAATAAGGCTCTGGCAATGTTAGTGGTATTTAAAAAAGCTCTGGTATTTGAAACAGTTGACAACAAGAGATTGTGCTGATAAACAGAATGGGGTTTGTGTTAGGCTGGCTCTGAGACTGAAGGCTTTAACATTAGATTTGTTCTGACACTTTACTTTTTTAATCCAAAGAAAAACTGATTTGATTACCAAATGCTGAACAGAACATCACAAAAGATGAAAATAATGGAGAAACTTAAAAAAATTGCCAAATGAAAAACAATATAAAAGTAGCTTACACTTAGCAACTGACATTATTTTTAATATCACATATCAAAGATTAAATTTAACTTTTTGCTATTGGAATTCTTTTAAACTAGCAGGAAGAAATGTAGAATGTAAACAGGGCAGTATCAGGTAATTTTCATTTACATTTTTGACAGTTCTTCCAAGTGTAACAAAAATTTGGCTCAATCAGTAAGTCATGCACGGGATAATACAAGTCATGTCTACCCATACTAGAAAGGTCTTTCCATGCGCAGTTGGATTACCCTAGATTTTTTTTGTTGGTTTAGGGCTTTTTGGTGTTGGTTTCTTTTTTTTTGTTTGCATTTTTTGTTTGTTTGTTTTTTCTTGTAGAAAAGCAAAAATGGCTTTCTTATAGGATTTTAAACATGCCCTTTTAGACTAATAAAAGTTAGTCCATCATTTGTGAAGTACTTTCAGAGTCTCAGCTGGAATGAAGTGTTTAAATGCTGGACATAATTCCTTGACTCTTCATGGTGAGGATGTAGATGATTTATAAGCAGCATGACATCTTTCAAAGCACAGTTTTTTAAGTTAACTGTCAAATCAAGCTTTTCACCTTTCTTTCCTACTGCCTTTGCTACCTCTCTTTTCCCATCATTGCTGAATAACCAAATTCTCTGTTCTTAAGTGGGTTCACCTTTAGGTGTGATATCTGACTGCCTCTTTCCTGCTTTTTACTAGATAGCTTGTTTATTAAACCATAGGTAGTAACTGCAAAAAAATGCATTTCTCTTCATTGCTACCAAGAAACTCTAGGATAAAATTTTATCTGGTCAGAAACTTGAATCAGTCTCTATTCTGATTGATCCTCAGAAATGCAGCAGCACAACAATGTGTATATGACACCCTGAAGAGGACAAAATTTTGGTCCAGAGCCAGTCATACATTAACTGCATTTAGTACCACTTAACAGCTTGAGGTCTATATGTCCTAATGATATGTTCAGCATATACTGGCAAAGTACATGTACTTAAATTTTGTTTTCCTATATGGAGCACACTTCTGCTTTAAGATACCTCTCATTCTTTCCATCTTCAGCATTTCAAAGGTAAATGGAATTAATTGCTTCTGGAGATACGTGTCTCTGTTCACTATGGAGGAAAGTAAAACTTAACATCCAGATGGTTAAAGTTAAACTGAAATAATCTGATATGTATGTTGCTCTAAATCTTGCATCAGCTTGGTGGCATTAGTCATCAAAATCTCACATCTCCATTAATTTAAATGTTACCATTGCTAACACCCATAATGAAACAGGGTTGAAAGGAGTTGCCTATGATCATGCAAAACACCTACAAGCAGAGCTAAGAACTGAATTCAGAAGACTAATTTTACCCTCTTGTAACACTAAAAAATGAATCACCAGTCTTTAATGTGCAACTATATTTTCCTTCCCCAAACCAGTGGTTAAATATGTAGGTAGAAATTCAATGGGATCTAAAGTGTCGTTCCTCAAGACAGACACTGAGAACACTATCCCACCTCTGCCTGTGATGCACTTTATGATGTCCTTCAATATCTGGATTTCAGTGTGAGCCAGATACCAGGAACAGTCTTCCAAATCTCCCTCTCAAGATTTTACAGCCAAACCCTCATAAGGCCAGTGCCTTACCTTGTAACAACAAACCTGGACCTTGTATTGGCTGGGCCAGCCATACTGCAAGCAGCCTCTTTTCCTAGTGGAGTACCCCACTCTAGAGCAATAAGCTTTTGTTTGACCACATTTACATTGATTGCTATTACTTTCCCTAAGAACAAGTAACAGTCTCCAACTGAAGTTTTCCTTGGTTTGTATTATTTTTCATAAAGTAAATCCAACTGTAATTTTCCATTTGCATTACAGGCATAAGTGAATCCATATCCCTCTTGCCTTAGTTTCTTTTTAAACCTACTTAAATTTCCTGCACCTGCTTCATTTAGTAAGTGGCAAACACTACTTGCTTTTCCAAATTAAAAAGCAGGAAAAAAATGTCAAGACTGCAAATGACACATAATGATTTCACTGTAGACTCCTAAGGATGGGGAAATTATAGGGTTAGGAAACCAGAATAAAATAATTATATCTTTTAAAATACTTTATGAACAAAAGCACTTATTTAACTGGATTTCTCTGCTGAGTTTAAATGCTTCACAGTAAATTAATTATGAAATTAATTGCAGAATTATAAGTCATTAAAAAAAAAACCAAGCAAGAATGTAAGAGTGGGATCTTATAATAAATCCTCTACTTGTATGACTTTCTTCTTCTACTTGTACAATTCACTTGTACAACAAGGTTTTCCAAGTGAGTAGTGTTTGAAAAAACACATTTCTGAAAGTGGCATTCTCTCCTGATGTAATATTAAGAAAAAAGCAGCTCAAGAAAGCAAAATGCAGAATACAGATAGCATCCCTACTGTGGCAAATCAAGGTACTTGAAGATACGATTAACTGAAGCTACCATTCTTTGCTGAATGAATCCTTACTGCTTCAGGCTAAGAAATTTGAGACAGCAAAGTTCAAAAGATGCTAACTCATGAAGTGGCAAAGGCAAACATTGGTTAAAGAAGACATATGTTTGATCAGTTCTTACATTCTCTATAAGTTGGAGACAGTACACAGATTTAGATTGAACTTTAGGTTGGCTAAAGAATGACTGTAAGCTTAGGCTGCCTGTTTATGGTTTAATCCTAATGCCATTTAAACTTAAGATATTATCAATATTAAATACCTCAAGATGAAGCTTTATGACAACAAAGTTGTCAAAGATGTTACTGTTAAAAGAAGCCTGCATCTTCGATTTTTCTCTGAAAGTTCCAAGTA